AATATTTTCAAATACTTGGAAATGTGTGAATGAGGAAGGAATATTAAATAAAACTGGAGTTGTGACTCAAAGGGTTATAAACCCATCAGGGAAAGCAGAGAAAGGCTAAAAGATAAAAAGTAGTGAGAAAGGTTAAATAGACCTTCTGTTATGCAAATATTGACCCTTAATTTTCCAACCTTTCTCACGTCTTTATCTTTTGTCCTTTCTCTTTTTTCCCTGCATTTGGGTCTATAATCCTTTGAGTCCCAACTCCAGCTTTATTTAGTAGTACTCCTTCCAGCATTGCAAGATTTGGCTACCCTTTTTTTTAGTTTGGCATAAAAAATATTATTTGTTGCATTGGCTACTTTTTTGGCTGCATATTATTTAAAAATATGTTAATTGAATAAAAATGCACTTTAAAATAGTGTTTTGTTGGTTTTTGTTAGAGACCCAAATAAAACAAATATTTGTGTGTTTCAAATAAATTTTTGTTTGTCTTCTTTATAATAAATTAATTTATTTCTAAGTAAAAATATGTGTCTGTAGAAGTAATTTTTTAAAATATCCTTTTTTGTGATAAAGTTTTAATACTTATTACTATAATCTAGACATGTTAATCCTTAAATATACCTGGGACACAAATATATACAATATACTTGTGGCCCAAAATTCCATGACTTCTTCCAATGTGGCCCAGAGAAACAGAAGAGTTGGACACTCCTGGTTTAAAGTTATTGTCAACCCATCCAGATTGTTGTTGACGGTGTTGACAAACTGCTGTATGTTTGGTTTTTTGTTCCATATGAGTAATACATCATCAGCGCTTCTACTTAATTGATTAAGTAAACAATCGTAACAAGGTTATTTAATTGAAGGGTATAGGTCAGGCATGGCCAACATACGGCTCGTCTAATGAATTTATGTGGCCTGCTATCAATCTTTCAATATTACCTATTCAAGTCTGAATAGCTCAACGAAAAATTCTGACGCCTAAAAAAAAAAGGGGTCAACAACTCACTGTGCGTTTAGAGTTAACCCTCCATTACAAATCTCTTAAGTACAGTGTAGAATGTTGATAAAGCATGATAATGTGAAAAATGTACAGTAGACCCCCCTATAACGCTTAGATACATTCCACTTTATAAGAATTTTACGTTGTAGGAATCCTTAAATACATGAGCCAGTCACAGCCTGACATGTGTGAAGTTTACGGACTAAGGCTGTTTGAAAGGTTTTCTTCTATAAAATTAACCGATTCTAGACTAATTCAACTCAACATTTCCAAAACATGTATAATTTTTTGGGAATAATCCGTATAAACTATGCTATAAACAAAAAATTGTAAGATTACTTACTGAGTGTGCACCGTTCGACTACGCCGTTGCTTACGCTTGTTTTTGTCGCAGAGTAGCGCACCAAACGGCGGCCGCGTTTTCTGATAAATTATTTTTCTACGAAAAATTTATTGATCTTTGGAGACATCATTAATAGAAATAATTTTTATGGCCGTTGAATAAGAAATGTTTCTTTCACAAGAAATGTATAAAATTAGTGCTGTATTAGACTTACGGTACCTAATTTACATACTGTACAGACGATAGTAAACTCAACTTACTCGCCTAAACTCTCCGTAGTGTGGCACTGGACAGCGGAAAGTATATATATAATTATAATAACATTACAATAAATTAAGTTAATATATAATTATATATACAGTACCTAATTTATATATAATTAATATATAATTATATGTACAGTACCTAATTTATATATAATACTGTACAGATGATAGCAAACTCAATTTACCAGCCTAAACTTTCCGTAGCGTGGCGCTGGACGGCGGAAAGTAGTTCGGCTGCTCATCCACTATTGGTCCAGATTCGACCAATCTTGTCGCGACACGAGTTAGCGACGACGTTTTACGAGTCCCTTTATACAAATACTGCCACAATTTTTTCTCTACGTTATAGGAACCCACGTTATAGGGGGGGTCAACTGTATCTGTAATCTCTATGTACAATTTAGTCTCTACAGGTGACACCACAATGAGATCTCTCACCACCTCAAAATCTTCCTAGGGCAGCCTCTGGTTTGGCCCGTGAAAAAAGTTTTCTTTCCAATTTGGCCCGGGGGCAAAAACTGTTGGCCACCCCTAGTATAGGTTCTGATAGTCTAACACAGATATGTATTCATCATATGTTAAGACTATTTGATTTAATTCCTCTGCCAATTGGGCTGGGTTAGTGATGCTAAAAGCTGTGTTTAACCCTTTGTTCTTTATAAGATTGTAAATGTATTTTTATAATAAATATGTCAGTGAGGCACATTTTTCAATACTGGTTGTAACTGGTGTCATGTTTTGTGGGTTTTAACAAAACCAAAGAGCCTGGGTATAGCTGGTGATGAAATTTTTACCTGTTTGAGTGGGGGAGCAGGTTTACCAGCTTGGACTTTGTTATCTTGATTACTCTTATGTGTGTGGAGGTCAGTATACTTTTGTTCATTATTATGCACTCAGTTTCTTTCAAGTATTTGTTGAGATGATTGTTGTATGTTGCTCTCTTCATGATGACCATAGATTTAAATTTATCCACTCTGGTTAGAACTATATAGTTTTCCATTAGCCATTTCTTCGAATTGGTGATATATATCCTTTACCTGTTGGTTTCCCGTCGTTTCTGGTTTAGTATTTCCAAGGCTGCTTCCAATCTGTGAGCATATTCTTTCCATTTCAGATATGACCTTCTCAAGAGGGAGAAGGGAAAGAGAGGTCCATCTTATGCACGTGTGGTGCCTAAGATGGACCTTTCTTTGTGGCCTCCAATAGACATTTCGGGGGAACCAGTGCATCTCAGCATATTAGCTGGTTAGTTAAGGAAGTGCTGCGCTTTTTGGGTTGTCATTTACAAAGACATTTGATCTTTTTCACATACTTTTTTTAAGTTTGTATTCAATTCTGGTTGTGATCACTGCTGCTTTAGCATTGGTTTCGTAAAGAATAGAGGAAATATAAGCACAGTGTCAATAATTCACGTGTGAACCATAAAGATGCCACTTGTTTATCAGCAGCTTGGAAGTACCTTCTCAATGGAGTGAACAGTGATACCAAAGACTAAAAAAAGTATTTCATTTATGCATTTATTTACTTTATTTTTACTTTTATTTTAATTAACATAGAATAGTTGTTATACGTTACTATATTTTATCACGGAGTTTTATTTCCGTTTCAATTATTTAATTAATGAATTTTATTCTGTCTACCTTTGTCAATGTTGTAAACATTTATTTGTATTCTCAATTTATTCAATTTTATGTATTTAAATAATTCTCGTTTAGAACACAATATTTAAATGTTAAAGAATTCTATTCAAAATGTGTTTGATCCTGAAGATGGCTATACTGATAGCAGAAAGCGTTAGATAAAATTAAAAGACAGTTGCTGGAATAGGTTTTTTCTTTAAATATTTGCAATAATCCAGTTTAAGCTCAATGTTTGAGACTGTTCATGCAGCTTGCCTCTGCTGATTTTCTTTGACAGTCCTTAAATGAGTGATCTTTGTCACATTGGCTGCAGACTTGTATTTCAGATTCTCAATATTTTGTGAAATGGCTTGGGACATTTAAACATTGGTTTAATGGGACAAAATCAACCACACAATGTGTCCAATGTAGGTTAATCTCTCCAGTTTGATCAGCAATGCTCTGAGATTTGGTGCAGCCCCACGACTGACGAAACATTCATGGAATTGCGCTGGCCAATGGGAAATTGAAGTCTTGTCTTCTTGCAGAATTCTTTTTTTTGAGAAACTTTTTGCAAGAAGCCCATTTTTGTTCATAGATTGCCTCTAAAAGTTACCTCTAAATAGATTGTTACTTTTCAATGGTCTTTGGCACAGAGGTAATTAATTTTGAGAAGAGGAAGATGCCTTCTTGGCTATGCTGACCGTCAAAAGTGTGCGACGCAGGATATCAACACTGAACCAGGACATCAATCCACTGAATGCATATCTTCCAGCCATGCGGACTAATGTTACTAGTAAGAGCTCTTCTTGTCTGCTCTGAGTCTTCAGTTTTGTTTTCCCCATAATTCGTTGGCAGCTCCGCCACTGCTTTCAAGAAAATTTGCTATCATATTATATCCAAAGCCACTTTTTTTTTACTTTGTGTTGTGTGTACAGTCTGACCAACCCAGGAAAGCACTCCCCTTTTGGCAATGGACTAGTTTATTGACAATTGGCAGGGATAAAGGTGCATCATATGACTGGTCAGCATAGTTTAGCTTTTCCACCTTTTAAGGTATGCCAACCAGATGCAAATTGACTCATGCTATACTTCACCCCTGCAAATGATTAGTAAAGTAGTGCAATGCTTAAGGACATAGACCAAAAATTTGTATGTGTATATTTTCTTACTTTTGTGTTTATTTTTGACTGAGACGAATATGATTTTCACTCTGGATAATGGAGGCTCATCTGCTTTGGGTACGGTGGGGTTCTATTTTACCTTTCAAAAGTTTCTTTTCTAATTAAAACTTTTATCCTAAATATTCATCTCGTGCATAGACAATTAATGCGATTAATTTAAAAACTGTTGACTTAATTGAGACAGATTGGTTCTAAACAAACTTTTCTAAGAATCTAATTTGTGTTTAACAATGTCTGGTCCTAAACCAACTTTTTTCTTGATATTATTTGCTAGTTATGTCTTCAAAACAACAGTCATTTAATTTTAACTTTTGTTAAGTGATGAAATGATGTGATTTTATATTATAAAAAATGCACAATATGAAATTTTGTAGAAATTCAGTAAATGCATTGGAATATATATCGGAATAAATCATTAACATATCTTATACTTTGTTTTTATGACTATCTGCTGTATAATTACATTATTGATATTATTTCGGATTATTGAGTGCCAGATTAACTGACTTTCACTGTATTAAATTCTTACTTATTCAATAGGATTTTGATTGTTTTGCAACATTAATAAATATTTATACCATGCATTGTTAGGTTTCATCCGGAAATATAATCATGAAAAAACATCAATGTGCAATATGCAGCAAATATTTTCTGTGGAATTCAAAATAAACAGAACAGACTGTTAGCCACTCAACCGAAAAAAGTTTGAATGTCATCTGTGTAAAAAGCATTACAAGTACAAAAATTCTGTCAAAAGACATTTCGAAAATCATATAAATTTAACAAACATGGTAGGTAATACTTAACAGGATATATGAAAGAAAAACACTTTGAATCAAAAAGAACAGTAAGTAATACTTTTAGAATTTGAAAATATTTAAAATTTTATTAAATACTTTTATTGATCTTTCTTACAGGAATCGAAAGAAGAAAACATTAAGATCGACACACAAAGGACAATGTAATCAAATACATGAACGAGGTTATTGTGTAACAGAATGTCACATGATGGACATTCTGTTACATAATAATCTCGTTCATGTGTTTGATTATATTGACAATCATCATGCTGTTAGAAAGTGAAAATATATAAAATTTTATTAAATACAGTACCTTTGTTAATCTTTCTTACGGGAATCGAAAGAAGAAAACATTAAGATCGACACACAGTGGACAATGTAATCAAATACGTGAACGAGGTTATTGTGTAACAGAATATCACATGATGGACATTCTGTTACATAATAATCTCGTTCATGTGTTTGATTATATTGACAATCATCATGCTGTTAGAAAGTGAAAATATTTAAAATTTTATTAAATACAGTACCTTTGTTAATCTTTCTTACGGGAATCGAAAGAAGAAAACATTAAGATCGACACACAGTGGACAATGTAATCAAATACGTGAACGAGGTTATTGTGTAACAGAATATCACATGATGGACATTCTGTTACATAATAATCTCGTTCATGTGTTTGATTATATTGACAATCATCATGCTGTTAGAAAGTGAAAATATTTAAAATTTTATTAAATACAGTACCTTTGTTAATCTTTCTTACGGGAATCGAAAGAAGAAAACATTAAGATCGACACACAGTGGACAATGTAATCAAATACGTGAACGAGGTTATTGTGTAACAGAATATCACATGATGGACATTCTGTTACATAATAATCTCGTTCATGTGTTTGATTATATTGACAATCATCATGCTGTTAGAAAGTGAAAATATTTAAAATTTTATTAAATACAGTACCTTTGTTAATCTTTCTTACGGGAATCGAAAGAAGAAAACATTAAGATCGACACACAGTGGACAATGTAATCAAATACGTGAACGAGGTTATTGTGTAACAGAATATCACATGATGGACATTCTGTTACATAATAATCTCGTTCATGTGTTTGATTATATTGACAATCATCATGCTGTTAGAAAGTGAAAATATTTAAAATTTTATTAAATACAGTACCTTTGTTAATCTTTCTTACGGGAATCGAAAGAAGAAAACATTAAGATCGACACACAGTGGACAATGTAATCAAATACGTGAACGAGGTTATTGTGTAACAGAATATCACATGATGGACATTCTGTTACATAATAATCTCGTTCATGTGTTTGATTATATTGACAATCATCATGCTGTTAGAAAGTGAAAATATTTAAAATTTTATTAAATACAGTACCTTTGTTAATCTTTCTTACGGGAATCGAAAGAAGAAAACATTAAGATCGACACACAGTGGACAATGTAATCAAATACGTGAACGAGGTTATTGTGTAACAGAATATCACATGATGGACATTCTGTTACATAATAATCTCGTTCATGTGTTTGATTATATTGACAATCATCATGCTGTTAGAAAGTGAAAATATTTAAAATTTTATTAAATACAGTACCTTTGTTAATCTTTCTTACGGGAATCGAAAGAAGAAAACATTAAGATCGACACACAGTGGACAATGTAATCAAATACGTGAACGAGGTTATTGTGTAACAGAATATCACATGATGGACATTCTGTTACATAATAATCTCGTTCATGTGTTTGATTATATTGACAATCATCATGCTGTTAGAAAGTGAAAATATTTAAAATTTTATTAAATACAGTACCTTTGTTAATCTTTCTTACGGGAATCGAAAGAAGAAAACATTAAGATCGACACACAGTGGACAATGTAATCAAATACGTGAACGAGGTTATTGTGTAACAGAATATCACATGATGGACATTCTGTTACATAATAATCTCGTTCATGTGTTTGATTATATTGACAATCATCATGCTGTTAGAAAGTGAAAATATTTAAAATTTTATTAAATACAGTACCTTTGTTAATCTTTCTTACGGGAATCGAAAGAAGAAAACATTAAGATCGACACACAGTGGACAATGTAATCAAATACGTGAACGAGGTTATTGTGTAACAGAATATCACATGATGGACATTCTGTTACATAATAATCTCGTTCATGTGTTTGATTATATTGACAATCATCATGCTGTTAGAAAGTGAAAATATTTAAAATTTTATTAAATACAGTACCTTTGTTAATCTTTCTTACGGGAATCGAAAGAAGAAAACATTAAGATCGACACACAGTGGACAATGTAATCAAATACGTGAACGAGGTTATTGTGTAACAGAATATCACATGATGGACATTCTGTTACATAATAATCTCGTTCATGTGTTTGATTATATTGACAATCATCATGCTGTTAGAAAGTGAAAATATTTAAAATTTTATTAAATACAGTACCTTTGTTAATCTTTCTTACGGGAATCGAAAGAAGAAAACATTAAGATCGACACACAGTGGACAATGTAATCAAATACGTGAACGAGGTTATTGTGTAACAGAATATCACATGATGGACATTCTGTTACATAATAATCTCGTTCATGTGTTTGATTATATTGACAATCATCATGCTGTTAGAAAGTGAAAATATTTAAAATTTTATTAAATACAGTACCTTTGTTAATCTTTCTTACGGGAATCGAAAGAAGAAAACATTAAGATCGACACACAGTGGACAATGTAATCAAATACGTGAACGAGGTTATTGTGTAACAGAATATCACATGATGGACATTCTGTTACATAATAATCTCGTTCATGTGTTTGATTATATTGACAATCATCATGCTGTTAGAAAGTGAAAATATTTAAAATTTTATTAAATACAGTACCTTTGTTAATCTTTCTTACGGGAATCGAAAGAAGAAAACATTAAGATCGACACACAGTGGACAATGTAATCAAATACGTGAACGAGGTTATTGTGTAACAGAATATCACATGATGGACATTCTGTTACATAATAATCTCGTTCATGTGTTTGATTATATTGACAATCATCATGCTGTTAGAAAGTGAAAATATTTAAAATTTTATTAAATACAGTACCTTTGTTAATCTTTCTTACGGGAATCGAAAGAAGAAAACATTAAGATCGACACACAGTGGACAATGTAATCAAATACGTGAACGAGGTTATTGTGTAACAGAATATCACATGATGGACATTCTGTTACATAATAATCTCGTTCATGTGTTTGATTATATTGACAATCATCATGCTGTTAGAAAGTGAAAATATTTAAAATTTTATTAAATACAGTACCTTTGTTAATCTTTCTTACGGGAATCGAAAGAAGAAAACATTAAGATCGACACACAGTGGACAATGTAATCAAATACGTGAACGAGGTTATTGTGTAACAGAATATCACATGATGGACATTCTGTTACATAATAATCTCGTTCATGTGTTTGATTATATTGACAATCATCATGCTGTTAGAAAGTGAAAATATTTAAAATTTTATTAAATACAGTACCTTTGTTAATCTTTCTTACGGGAATCGAAAGAAGAAAACATTAAGATCGACACACAGTGGACAATGTAATCAAATACGTGAACGAGGTTATTGTGTAACAGAATATCACATGATGGACATTCTGTTACATAATAATCTCGTTCATGTGTTTGATTATATTGACAATCATCATGCTGTTAGAAAGTGAAAATATTTAAAATTTTATTAAATACAGTACCTTTGTTAATCTTTCTTACGGGAATCGAAAGAAGAAAACATTAAGATCGACACACAGTGGACAATGTAATCAAATACGTGAACGAGGTTATTGTGTAACAGAATATCACATGATGGACATTCTGTTACATAATAATCTCGTTCATGTGTTTGATTATATTGACAATCATCATGCTGTTAGAAAGTGAAAATATTTAAAATTTTATTAAATACAGTACCTTTGTTAATCTTTCTTACGGGAATCGAAAGAAGAAAACATTAAGATCGACACACAGTGGACAATGTAATCAAATACGTGAACGAGGTTATTGTGTAACAGAATATCACATGATGGACATTCTGTTACATAATAATCTCGTTCATGTGTTTGATTATATTGACAATCATCATGCTGTTAGAAAGTGAAAATATTTAAAATTTTATTAAATACAGTACCTTTGTTAATCTTTCTTACGGGAATCGAAAGAAGAAAACATTAAGATCGACACACAGTGGACAATGTAATCAAATACGTGAACGAGGTTATTGTGTAACAGAATATCACATGATGGACATTCTGTTACATAATAATCTCGTTCATGTGTTTGATTATATTGACAATCATCATGCTGTTAGAAAGTGAAAATATTTAAAATTTTATTAAATACAGTACCTTTGTTAATCTTTCTTACGGGAATCGAAAGAAGAAAACATTAAGATCGACACACAGTGGACAATGTAATCAAATACGTGAACGAGGTTATTGTGTAACAGAATATCACATGATGGACATTCTGTTACATAATAATCTCGTTCATGTGTTTGATTATATTGACAATCATCATGCTGTTAGAAAGTGAAAATATTTAAAATTTTATTAAATACAGTACCTTTGTTAATCTTTCTTACGGGAATCGAAAGAAGAAAACATTAAGATCGACACACAGTGGACAATGTAATCAAATACGTGAACGAGGTTATTGTGTAACAGAATATCACATGATGGACATTCTGTTACATAATAATCTCGTTCATGTGTTTGATTATATTGACAATCATCATGCTGTTAGAAAGTGAAAATATTTAAAATTTTATTAAATACAGTACCTTTGTTAATCTTTCTTACGGGAATCGAAAGAAGAAAACATTAAGATCGACACACAGTGGACAATGTAATCAAATACGTGAACGAGGTTATTGTGTAACAGAATATCACATGATGGACATTCTGTTACATAATAATCTCGTTCATGTGTTTGATTATATTGACAATCATCATGCTGTTAGAAAGTGAAAATATTTAAAATTTTATTAAATACAGTACCTTTGTTAATCTTTCTTACGGGAATCGAAAGAAGAAAACATTAAGATCGACACACAGTGGACAATGTAATCAAATACGTGAACGAGGTTATTGTGTAACAGAATATCACATGATGGACATTCTGTTACATAATAATCTCGTTCATGTGTTTGATTATATTGACAATCATCATGCTGTTAGAAAGTGAAAATATTTAAAATTTTATTAAATACAGTACCTTTGTTAATCTTTCTTACGGGAATCGAAAGAAGAAAACATTAAGATCGACACACAGTGGACAATGTAATCAAATACGTGAACGAGGTTATTGTGTAACAGAATATCACATGATGGACATTCTGTTACATAATAATCTCGTTCATGTGTTTGATTATATTGACAATCATCATGCTGTTAGAAAGTGAAAATATTTAAAATTTTATTAAATACAGTACCTTTGTTAATCTTTCTTACGGGAATCGAAAGAAGAAAACATTAAGATCGACACACAGTGGACAATGTAATCAAATACGTGAACGAGGTTATTGTGTAACAGAATATCACATGATGGACATTCTGTTACATAATAATCTCGTTCATGTGTTTGATTATATTGACAATCATCATGCTGTTAGAAAGTGAAAATATTTAAAATTTTATTAAATACAGTACCTTTGTTAATCTTTCTTACGGGAATCGAAAGAAGAAAACATTAAGATCGACACACAGTGGACAATGTAATCAAATACGTGAACGAGGTTATTGTGTAACAGAATATCACATGATGGACATTCTGTTACATAATAATCTCGTTCATGTGTTTGATTATATTGACAATCATCATGCTGTTAGAAAGTGAAAATATTTAAAATTTTATTAAATACAGTACCTTTGTTAATCTTTCTTACGGGAATCGAAAGAAGAAAACATTAAGATCGACACACAGTGGACAATGTAATCAAATACGTGAACGAGGTTATTGTGTAACAGAATATCACATGATGGACATTCTGTTACATAATAATCTCGTTCATGTGTTTGATTATATTGACAATCATCATGCTGTTAGAAAGTGAAAATATTTAAAATTTTATTAAATACAGTACCTTTGTTAATCTTTCTTACGGGAATCGAAAGAAGAAAACATTAAGATCGACACACAGTGGACAATGTAATCAAATACGTGAACGAGGTTATTGTGTAACAGAATATCACATGATGGACATTCTGTTACATAATAATCTCGTTCATGTGTTTGATTATATTGACAATCATCATGCTGTTAGAAAGTGAAAATATTTAAAATTTTATTAAATACAGTACCTTTGTTAATCTTTCTTACGGGAATCGAAAGAAGAAAACATTAAGATCGACACACAGTGGACAATGTAATCAAATACGTGAACGAGGTTATTGTGTAACAGAATATCACATGATGGACATTCTGTTACATAATAATCTCGTTCATGTGTTTGATTATATTGACAATCATCATGCTGTTAGAAAGTGAAAATATTTAAAATTTTATTAAATACAGTACCTTTGTTAATCTTTCTTACGGGAATCGAAAGAAGAAAACATTAAGATCGACACACAGTGGACAATGTAATCAAATACGTGAACGAGGTTATTGTGTAACAGAATATCACATGATGGACATTCTGTTACATAATAATCTCGTTCATGTGTTTGATTATATTGACAATCATCATGCTGTTAGAAAGTGAAAATATTTAAAATTTTATTAAATACAGTACCTTTGTTAATCTTTCTTACGGGAATCGAAAGAAGAAAACATTAAGATCGACACACAGTGGACAATGTAATCAAATACGTGAACGAGGTTATTGTGTAACAGAATATCACATGATGGACATTCTGTTACATAATAATCTCGTTCATGTGTTTGATTATATTGACAATCATCATGCTGTTAGAAAGTGAAAATATTTAAAATTTTATTAAATACAGTACCTTTGTTAATCTTTCTTACGGGAATCGAAAGAAGAAAACATTAAGATCGACACACAGTGGACAATGTAATCAAATACGTGAACGAGGTTATTGTGTAACAGAATATCACATGATGGACATTCTGTTACATAATAATCTCGTTCATGTGTTTGATTATATTGACAATCATCATGCTGTTAGAAAGTGAAAATATTTAAAATTTTATTAAATACAGTACCTTTGTTAATCTTTCTTACGGGAATCGAAAGAAGAAAACATTAAGATCGACACACAGTGGACAATGTAATCAAATACGTGAACGAGGTTATTGTGTAACAGAATATCACATGATGGACATTCTGTTACATAATAATCTCGTTCATGTGTTTGATTATATTGACAATCATCATGCTGTTAGAAAGTGAAAATATTTAAAATTTTATTAAATNGGCTGTGCCTGTTTATTTTACAGTACAATTGGTTTTTCAATCAATATTTAAAGAAAGAATTAAATATGTAGTTTTTAAAATCACTGATATAGTTTTAATATGGCCCTGGGGGTCACCAGAATTTTTTAACTTGTAAAGGGGTTGCGTATTCAAGAAGGTTGAAAAACACTGATGTAAACAATACATAAAATTTGCATAAAAGTCTTATTAATAATTGCACTTATCCTGTTGTTTACAATAATCACAAAAGCAGTGATAACAGCACATATTTTGGTGTGATAATCACATTATATTTAAAAACTGCAGATTAAATGTATTGAAGTAAGCAAATATGTTATAAATGTAAATATTAACATATTTCTTTGTAAAATAATAACAAAAGTTTAATTTTGTTCTTATTTTACAAAGAAAAGTTAAAATACAGAATAAGGAGATCAGAAATACATTGTTACAATTTGTACAACAAAATAGCTGTTGAGAGGTGGAGTCTGGGATTTTTTCCCAGGTTGAGAGAAACCTTGGACTTGTAGTGGTTCCTTTCCATATAAAATTATTATTACTTTTACTTACAGAAAATAATACTGCTTTTTATTAAGAAATGTGCTGTGTTTCATTTGTTAAAAAAAAACACAGGGATCTGCTTAGCATACCACTTAACTTTATTCCATGAGCTCTCGATTGCCTGGCAACAAAATAACCTTTGAATTGTTGGCAAATGCTTAGGCACTTCAATGATTCAAAGGTTTGCCAACAAGAACTCGATCTTATATCATCTGATGATGATTGATTTAAAATGTTAGAAAAATTTCATTACCTTGAGGTGCCAGTTAAAATGACTGTATTGATGATCAGAAAAACACTCGGCCACTAGTGGGCACAAAGTTGCGTAGAGATCGAAGAGAACATAACCATCATATTCTTTGAAAATGAATTTCTGTGATTTTAGACATCCCGCAAGGATATCTGGAATCCTTGCAACTCTTGCAAGGATGAAGCGATCAAAATGATAGCACTTACCTTTGCAGCAGCCTATATTTCCCTTTACCCGCAATGGAAACAATTTGTATATCTGCTTGCGAAATTAAAGTAACATAATTTTACTTCATAAATTTTGTTTTTACATCTTTAAGAATTATAACAATCTATTTATATGCAGTCGTTTAGATAGTATTCTGATTCAAAGCATTATGATCATAATAATCCTGCGAGATCTATATTAATCACACGTATATTATAGATGCTACATAATGAAAATTTAATAGAGTTTCATTTGGTTTTGGTTCTATGTTTTTAATTTGAATGTTGAATGGTATATTCTGAAATAGTATCAGTGCACACTTCAAAATGTGATGTATTTTTGAGACACCGAGGATTGAGCATTAAGTGCGGAGCCCCTCTAAGTCCGGGATTGTGTGTGAATGCAAAGTTGGATCTGAAAGCATATGAGAAACAGCACACTTCTTATGGAACTTCACACTAAATTGAACAAATTAATTTCTATGAGTATCTTTGATATAAAACAATAAATTTACCAATTTTGAAAATAGAAATTTAATTTCTATAACAAATAAATGTACTTTATCCATTTAAAAAATGATTAACAAATATTTCTCAAAGATAGAAAATCTCATAATAATTAAAAATAGTGAATACAAAAATAAAGTGTAGTTTGTACATGTTAAGAAAATATAATGTATATAAATATAGAAGAAAAATAGTTATGATTATATATCTTATTTCTTTACATATATATATATCTTACATTATATATCTTATTTTTTTAATTGTCTGTCCAATTCGTCCCATAAAAGTCGGCTAAGCAATTGTGGATTGTCCTCGTCTTCTGAAATGAAGATCAATTAAGATTAAAATTGTTTTTTTTTTTTATGACACAAATTGCAATTTAATGTTCATTAATTAATAATAATAAAAAAATACATAAATGTAATGGTGAAAATTTATTAAAAAGAAGTAAAGATTAATAATTAATTATAGCTAATTCTATAAATATTTAGAAATAAGATGGTGAGGGCTAAATGGCCAAGTTAAATAAAAGCACCAGACTTCTGATCTGAGTTATATATTTTTATGGGTAAGTTGATCTAGATACAGTGGGCCCCTTGCCACATAATCAAACTTAAAGGGAACAAGATCCTCTTACTGCTCACAAAATATACCAAGCAGCAGAAATAATTTTTTCGTAACTTGTTTTTACGTTTATTATCCCATTACAATTTATTTGATAACCCTATTTTAAACACCTAATTCATTTAAATATTAATTTGTTGCAACTTCTCACCGTCCAATCGGAGCCACTCTGATAGACAAGGTGATAAGAGAATTGCCTCCGATGCAGAGTTGAAATGGTGCTGCACCATTAGACATTCTTCAAATGTAAAAGAAATTTAAACCATTACTGTTAGGAATTAATGTTAAATAAATTAAGCATATAGACACCATTCCAAGCTTGTTTCAGGCAGCATAATCATTGACAATGGTCCTTCTTTCAATTCATTGCATTGTAATTTTGTTTGTTCTGATGTATAAATGAACATGTTTGTACATCAGAACATAAATTAAACAGAAAAAATTGAAGCCACTCAAATTTTATTACTTGAAATTGATTTTCGTTGAATGAATTTGATAGGATACAAAAATTAATCAAATGTTATTTTCGTACACTTTGTAAAGCTATAAAATCATTTGTTGTATGATGTATGTTTTATATTTGTAAAAAAAAATTAATATTTAAATATATTCAATTAAATAATTTAATAACATGATAAAAATTATCACTATATAACCTTTCTTTTTTTTCTAACTCTACAGTGTGAACACCAATAAGACCATTACGGGTTTGGCCAGGTGGCACGGGACAACTACCTGTTGTAAAATTCCTGGAATTTTTCAGTCTGACTGGATTTGATCTTGGGTCCCCAAAGCAGTAGGCTGCCACCTTGACTATCACTCTACAGATACTAAGAAGACTTTTTTATACCAATTATAAATTTGGCTAAGCTTGCAATGAGCAATAGGGCCCAATGTATCTGAACCAAACTGTTCATAAAAATTCCAAAGGATCCAATCTGGACACGAACTCTAGTTACAAGAGTGACAAATAACCCTTTACAATCTAAACATCAACATCTAATCTATTCCATTTGAAGATAATAACAATAAAATTAAATAGTTAAAAATTTGGAATCGTAATTTAGCATTTTTTAACTGAAACACTTGTAAAGATAAAATATTGAAAAATACACTTACCATCGTTATAGCAAAGTAAATGATAGGTGTCCCTCTCACCCGAATCCTCTAATATTTCTTTCAGCATATTATATAAAAGATATGCTTGCTGTTTAAAAATTTCTTTTGGTTGTTTCATAGATTTAAGAACTGGTAAAGAATTCTGCCCTTCAACAACACAATAATAAGGCTAGAAATAAAAACAATTTGCTAAGAAAATAGTCAAAAATATTACATAATGTAATACAATATAATATCCATTATTAAAACCCCTTATACTCTGTCTCCAGAGAGACCACCTTTATCTCAGTGTGACATTGGACACCTGTGGTAAGTTGGTGCCTGCTACCAATGATTAATCTACAATCTCTGAAATCCTGTAGTGCCATTTGGCAAAGCAGGGTCCTAAACTCAGGTGCCGTTATACATACTGTACTATTGCTTACACCCACCAACTTTTCTCTTCCTATTGGTCTATCTGTCTATCATTAAGTTATCTCTAGTTTTTGTTCCATTTGTTTTCATGCTCCTCATTATTGACCATTCATCAAGGATCTTTGTTCTAGTAAGAATCGTTTTTGTGGATCACGTGCTGCACTTTCATGTTTGGTACAGAATCACCACGTGCAATAACAAGCAGAATTTTTGGTTTTCGGGTCTTAATCAATTAAAATCAGACTATGAATTGTTATAAATTAGAGTTACCTCTTTATCTCTTGGAGCTATTTTATAAATAGGATTGTTCATCTTCCGATCAAGAGTTCCTTCTTTATTAGTTTTAATTGAAGAAAGGTGATCGATTAGTTGAATTTCCTCTGTTCCGTGTTCGAGCGAATCCGGAATCCGTCCAGACAAAGGAAAGAGTATGATTAGTTTCTTAAAAGGAATTCTGATATTGTGCTTCTTTTCTGCGTTGATAATCCTCTCTTTTAATTCTAAAAATATTTAATAATTTTTATTATTTTTACATTTTAAATGAATTTTATTAAGTTATCTACAGTAATACCATGACTTACGCGAACCCGGAGTTAAGCGATTTTCAAATCTTGTCGATTCCACTTTTGTTTGAGCACCATGCAACTCTTGATTATTCACTCCTCCCACACTATTGTTCAGCTTACATGTTCGGATGTGCCACGTGGAATCGACACATAGCTACAATTTATTTTGTGTTATTTATTTCTGTGTTTGTTATATCCATGCAACTTGAGAGACTCTATTTGGTGATTTCTTGTAACCGTGAACAAATCAAAAGATGAGATAAGATTAACGAGAACATTTATTAGCTTACATACATCCGACTTGGATTTTACACAAATTGCGAAATTATACCCTGACTTATGCAAATTAGATTTATGTGGTTATCACTCGGTCCCACCTATCGCGTAAGTTCAGGGTATTACTGTATTTGTATTCCATCATGTAGGCCTACTTTTCATATTTTAAATATCTTATTCTAGAGCAAGTGGATGTCCATTTAAAATGGCTGAAACAATTTGTATGCTGTGATTCTGCTGCGGTAGATTTCTGGTACAGATTAAATTATTTGCAAAGCATTAAATATATAACAGTAATACATTATTAGATAATAGTATGCTCAAAACTGTATTTTTCGTCTTATGCCACATCCTCAATAGACATTGATACTCTTGATTATGGATGAATAGTGACATAAATTTCAAAGGTTTGTCTAGTGTAAGCCATGATGAATAACTGAACGAACACCATTCCAGGTGATATTAAGTTTTATTACCATTATATTTTTCATTTCTGTGTATCTGAACAGTGTTTTGTTCTTACTATTTTTGGTATTTCAAATAAAAAAATCACATTCTTAATCCCAGTAATGTATTTATTAAAAGCAATTTTGATTAGATTGACCAACCTTCTTTAGTTGAATAATCTAATCGAAAATGCTTTTAATTTTAATAAATACATTACTGGGATTAAGAAGGTGATTTTTATTTAAAGTAAGCCTTTTCCTAGTATAATAATACCACCATTTCAGTATTTCATTCACCACATAAATGGCTGTATTTGAAGGACAAGTAGACATCAAAATTAAACAGAAGCACATCAAATATTAAAAAATCCAGTAACAAGTTGCATAATTTTCCCAGCTGTTATGAATTTTTATTTTAAAAATTACTTTTATATTATTAAGCTAAATAAATAAAATTGTGTGGGGTACCATCTGTTAGGAGATTTTCTTATAAAAAAAAAACTTATATTCTTAATTACTATAAAATGGCAAAAAGCTTAATTTTGAGGGCAGAGACGAGTTTTAAGAAAAAGTATAAACACGAATAACGAATAAAATCTTCATTAAGTCCTACTCCTCTAGAGATATAACTCACAACCCCCCCTCTATCTCTCCACTCCCTGGACATTAATCACCAAAATTTAATAGCATCAATGCCCTTCATATATAAGCCACCCTTACAAAAGTTTACCCCATCCTGAGATATTAAGTGAAATAAACACCAATACACAACTGTGAAATCTTTTTGGATTCAGGAGGACTCAAAACATGGAGATTTATGAAAAACTCAGAGATTCAAATTTGACACAATGCCATTATTTTCTCTTGTTATGTATGCATAACAGCCAGGTAAGCAAAACTTAGCATTAGTTTGTATCTTGATAGGTGCTATCTAGAAGGAGAGAGAGCCAAATACCAGGAAAGACCAACCTTGTCATGACAGGAGCCATATGTCACCAGAAGTATGAGACCCATATTCTCTATTTTATATCATGAATATGCATTCTTGTGTAATTATAATAATTAAATATATAGAAATGGTAGTAACAGTCTAGAAGAGCTGTAGTTTGGCCACTGTAGACATATATCATTATGATAAACTTATCACTAAATCTAACTTTTACAGTATTTAATTTAAAAAAATCATTGTAATAGATCTATATACATGCAAAAACATCCCATAGAACTATTGATTTCTACAAAATAGGGTTCAAATATAACTACTGGAGATAAATACAGGAGTTCCCCTACTTATGAACAATTTGACCGTATGTATAAAATTTAAATTATGCAGATTGTGGGGTGTTGTCAAACTCAGTGTTTAGTCAGTAATAAATAATCATTTTTCATTTTCACACGAATTCTTACATTCCATTGCTGCTTGTAACGTGACGTCAAAGTCAGTAATATTGGAGTAGTAATGTGTTTTGCTATTGTTTGCAATTTTTTAAAAGTTTTATGATTATGCACCCAAAACATAATAGTAAGTCTAACAGTGGAGATAAATGCAAGAAGTGTGGCTCTATTATCATGGAAATTAAACTCAACATTATAAAATTAAGTGTGTTAGATGAAAAAAAACCACATTTGAAACCACCACTACTAAGCAGCAGTAAACAGGTGTAATGTGTTCTATTAAGTATGTTGAAGGATCAAACACCAACAATACACAGTTATTTTGTGTATAAATGTACATTCTAGATTAGTTTTTGACTTATGACAAAACCACAGGAATCTAACCTGTTCATAAGTATGGGAGTGCCTGTATGTCTGTAACCAAGTTAACATGATTAAAGATCTTACTGGGCAATACATTCTTGTAGTAGCTATAATAAGCAGCATAAGCCATAAACGTTCCTGTACTGGGAATATGAGACTTGCTATGTTGAAATTCCGTCTCTGTCCATACCTACAAAAAATAATTATTAGTATTTGGTAGTTGGCTCAAATTACAAGAATTTTATTGTCATTTATATCTAGTAATATTGCTAATTAATATTAAATGTTAACATATTCATTATTATTTAATCTCTATCAGTAAAAAGTTTCAATTGTTGTTATAATTTATTACGACAACCTGGAGAATAACTCATTTCAAGAAACTAAACTTTCGTTCATTTCAGCACTGAATCCTTTCCCTTGAGTTTTCAAATTCAACTTTTCCTGAAACACATGCCATCACATTTACTACCACTTTTTTTCACCTCATTGCATGGCATATATCACTGTTGATGTACAGTACTTCATTACTTTTACTGTTGAAAAATCTGTTTTCCCATTTTTGGGGGAGTGATTATTCATTTCTAACAGACTTTTATAGGAAAATGATAGTGCTTTATGCCTAGTAGGGGTTTTGTGATCCAAGTTGTTGAGTTGATGGATGTAGAAAAAACTACTGTTTCCTTGATCACTTCTCAGTATGCAAAGACAGGCAAAACATCTGCTGACAGAAGCAGCTGTGATTGAAAACCACAGCTGAATGCAAGGGAAAAAGAACATTTTATCAAATTGTAATAAGAAAACATAAAACTATAACAGTGCGAATTACTGCAGAATTGGCTAAAAGTGCAAGGGTACCAGTATCAGAGAAAACAGTCCGATATGAAGAAGATAATGGCAGGTTTCAATAGCTAAACCTTTTTCTGACACAAAGAAACATCAAACAGTATGTGCAGTGATGTAGAGTACAAAACATGAACACTGGTGACAAGGAAACATGTGATATAGTCACACAAGCCAACTTTCATTGTATTTCCCACTTCTGGCCATATTTATGTCTGGAGATCACTGGGTGAAGCTTACAATGTTGACTGCCTTAAACCCAATGTCAAGTATTGCAGAGGTTCCTGCATGATTTGGGATGATATAATTCAACTCTTTGGATCCAATAGTTGTCCTCAAAGGTAAAGTAACAGCCCAGAGATAACAACATATTCTGAGTGACCAACTTCATTCCCTGATTCAAACTTTGTTTCCAGATGACGATGCAATCTTTCAAGATGACAATGCACCTATCCACATTGCTGGATGTGTTTGATCTTGGTTTGAGGAGTACGAAACTGAACTTAAGCATCTACCCTGACCACCCTGATTATTATTGAGCCTGTGTGGGGCATTCTTGAGAAAAAGGTTAGTAGATCTTTCCATCACCTACTTCTATTCACCTTTCCATCACCTACCTTCCTAAAAAAGTAGATCTTTCCATCACCTACTTCTGCCAAGGAATTAGCATCAGTATTGCTTGAAGAATGGTACAAAATTGGCTTTAATGTTGTTCATGATTTATATTTGTTCATTTCTCAATGTATTTTAACTTTTTTTTTATCTACAAATGAGGGTCCTACTCCATTAATAAACAAAAAAGTGATCTTTTGTTGGTGTTCAAATTATTTTGTCTAACCTGTGTATGTGATCACACACACATACTCTGCACATATATTTTAGTATATTTTTTACTAGCAATATATATTTCAATTGTAATTTAATTCAATTTTGTTCCAAGCATATCATCAGCAAATATATTTAAATAATTAGAGAAGCTATGCACTGAATTTTATGTTCAATTTGAAAAGACCAATGAATGGTTACAAATGAACTCAGATAAATTTACTAAAAGGAAAAGAATTTGGTGCTACAGTGAATGAAAAGTTAGATCAGTGTTTTTAACCTTTTTCTAATAGTAGAACCCTCAACTTCATAATATTTTTCTTGTGGTACTCCTATTTCTTTATTGATTGTATTTTTAGTAATTCACATAAGACATGTTACAGAACTACTAGACACTATTTTGTGGCACCCCTGAAGTGTCATTGTGGCAACTTAGTTGAAAACTACTAAGTTAGTTGCTTGAAGTTATAATTATTATTTTTCTAATGTTGATATTGATGACAAATGTGTGCTGGAGTAAAGTCAAGGCATAATTAACTAAATCATGATTTATGAAGTTTATACATAGGCACATGAAGAGTAACTACATAGTGTGAAGCCTGGAAATAGTGTTAAAAAGAAAGAAATGATGTAAAATTCGTTAAGATTGACAGTAAAGAAAACAAGTTGTAAAAGTGTTGAATCAGTGACACCGGACTTTGACGTCGACGCTCATAGAGAATAACGGGAAAAGCAAAATTTCGATTAAAGAAAATTTAAAACTTTAAGACACAGTTTAGAAAGCAAAACAAAACTAGAAAAATATCAGAATGAGCATGGGTGTCATAGTCGCCAATTAAACGCGATCAGAGTCTAAAATATGGTGTCTGATAGACCATTGCTAGTCAACCTTTCCCGCGACTGATACAGAGCTCCATTTACACCTGGAGACAGGTGGGAGACCAATTAGAAAGTGTGGAAGAAAAGTCTGTCCAATTAGCGACAATTCGGTCATGAAAAACTTATAAAAACTGACGTCAAGGACAGAAGGTGGCCTTCCCTAGTCTACCTGTGATGTTCGTTCACTCTCTGCTCATCGTACGTCTGTTCATGTTTTTTTGTGCTGTTTCTCCCAATTACGAACATTAAAGTGATGCCGCCCCTGGCCCTGTCAGCGTTGGACCAGATCGAAAAGAAAGGATCTTCTGAAGACAACTCACAGAACTCTGAACCCCAGGATCTTGATAATTTTATGTAAGCATATTCATCAAAAATAAACAGTTTCTTTGTGAAACACTTGTCTTTCCTGCCTCTTCAAAACTGCCACCCACATACAAATAGACCTTAAGCCATCCTGACAGTAGGGAATAAAATCCCCCTTAATCAGCGACCTTACAATAGCAAATATATAATACTGCCACTTTTTTCAATAAATATTATCATTATTAAAGTCTAATGTTTGCAAACTTGTCCTCAAAGGTAAGGTTATGTATTAATAGTACATGGATGAGATTACAGACACAATAAATACCTCATCCACTTTTTATAGATGTCACATTTCTTGTGTTTCAGAGTGATGTACTGTACATTGTTATTGCTCCAGTCGTATACTTTATAATCAAACAATACAGACCAATTCTTGTCCAGATATAATATGACTAATTAACTATTAAGATACTATGCAATTTGGGCTAATGATTGACAGTTAAACTGCATCTCATGTTAAATTTAATTATTAGATATAAATTAATTTAGAATATTCTGATATAAAAGATTGGCCCAAAGTGGAACTTGAACCCACAACTCCCATTTATTGCACTGATGTATTACCAGTTAAGCTATCTAGACCTCTTTCTGATCTTTTCTTCCAGACCAATTAATGTACAAGATGCAACTGGACTTTTTATATATTACATATATTTTGTATAAAGATATGTTGAATATCTACTATTTTATCTTGGATTTCTTTTAGTTTTGTTTAACCACATAGCTAAAAGAAATCCAGGATTTTTTTCTATTGTTATATCATTCTATAGAGCCAAAGATGAAATTTTATGCTAATATTTGAACATTGCAGGCTTCTGACAGGCTGCTTGCACTTCTTATGATACTGCTGTGTACCAACATACTCAATAACTGCCAGTGTATTAGGTACTACAATAATACTGTTAACCTGTTTGGACAGTTCAACACATGGAAGTATATGAAATATAGAAAAATTTTTATACAGAGCATAGAATAAGAGATGCAATTCTATGATATATTTAAGTCCATGATATTTATTACAACAGTAGCAGGATGCAATAATAATCTGTATATATATTAAAAACAAAATATTTCACTGCCACCAAAATTCAAACCAACACTTTACAAAGAAGCAGTGCATAAATAGATCACATCAGAACATGGTGTCCTTGAATTATAAATGAGTTAACATTGATTGAACTATTGGGCTACCTAGTTTAAAATAAATACCATAAATTTAGCTATATTGCAAAATTATCTCACTATGTCACATTAAATTTATTCAAAAATCAAAATATATTACATAAATTATTTATAGGAGAATTTAGGTGGTTAGCTAACAGATCTTTTTTAATGTAAAAGGCTTTGAAAATTCACAAAGTGCCAAAGACAACTGCCACAAACAAAGAATGCTCCAAATAGAAATATGAATTTTGAGAAAATCAGTATTTACCAATGGAAATCAAAAAGCAAAACAATAAAATAACATTTTGCTACTGTGGCATTCCTTCTCCACTAGGGTTATCGTATGTCCGTATTTAGTATGGAGAGTCCGCACTTTAGAGGCAGTGTCCATACCGTATTAGAAAAAATAAACAAAATGTCTATACTTTCCAACTGATTGTATAGTTCATAGTTAAATTATAACCACTTAGATTTAATCTGACAAAAGGTGCTAAATATTTGATGATTATTATTGCATTGTTGCTACATGGCAATATTGTATAAGCAAATGTAATGGCTTTGCTGCTTAGAGAATATGTGCACATTCGTTATAATGGTTGTTGTAATTTGATTGTACTTATTGTCTAAGTGACAAAATAGTTTTCTTATATTTAAAATTGCATTCTGTGCCCCAAAGGTAAATGTAAGTTCAAACTTTATATTATATGCCTGCATTTACTAGATTGAAAAACACAAATAAATTCCTTTTATTTTGTTTCTGAGTACTTTTAATGCTAATCTGTTCATATTTTGTTTTCAACTGTTATGGTATCCCTATTCTCCACTCACTGTGATAAAAAAAAAAAACATTAACATTTCTGCTGGGTGGAGAATGTAACTTTTAGGCCACACAATGATGCTATAGGAAAGTCAGATTTAGCAAATTTTATGCTAAATTGGCTATTCTTATTCAGCTGTATTAAAGTTACTTTACCAAATGACGTGCCAAAAGGATTTGCAGAAGTTAATAAACTTACATTGATTGGCACCTGCCGAGTTGACAGAATAGAAAATACATTATATAATACATGGAGCTCATCTGGACCAACAAGCCAGCTTGACTTGAGCAATTTGAGAAAGAGCATTTGAGATTAGAGGTTTCACTGTATATGCTAATAATAATAAACTACTAATGTACAGTTTATTCTCAGTTTTCTCTGGTCAAGTTTAGTTCAAATATTCTTTGTCATCAGTTTAATTAAGGTTGTGTGATGGCTCAAGGCAGTGTATTCACACCAATTAATCGTTGATGGTTCTCATATTCACACTGGTTGATGGGAGTTGTATTTTATATTCATCCCGGTGCAGTTAAGAAAAGACATTCCTTATTGCCTACAAAGCAGAGCATTAAGGAAAAAGTTTACAGTATTGGAGCAGCCCAATAAAATTGCAAGCTATTTTTGAGTCTGGATCTGTATACTTTTGTTTGGTCTGAGATGTGTTATATGCTCATCACTCATCACTCATGATAAGTATAAATAAAAAGCCTTTTAGACATGTGAAGGACAGAAAAAGTTAATAAATTATTACTTAACTATCATAAAATATTTTATAAACTTAGCTTAAATTTACCTTGTGGTTTAAGAACATATTAAGAACAGCAGTTACGACAATCAATAAATTCTTATTTGATTCCACAACGCTCAAAACTATATGATGATCCATAAGAAGACACTATAAATTTAAATTAATGTAAAATTACTGGAATTTAAACAGAACTAACAATAAGATTTTACAATATTTAAATTATTATAAGTAATTAAAGAAATATTTACAATTATTAGAATTCCGACTCCAAAAACTACAAATGAAGAATTCCATCCTCCTGAAAATATGGTGGACAAGAATTTCCAATAATTTTTTCCATATCTGCTCTTGAAATGCCACAACTCTTCTATTAACAAACATATTCTATGTAAAATAGTTGCCACAACAGTTGTGTTTATCCACAGCGATAAAATTGTGACTGCAAATTTTAAAATGTATAATAAATAAACAATTTAATAAAAGAAATATTTATTTTATTAACAAAAAATTGTAAAACAATATTAATATAATTAATATTACAATATAATTAATCATTTAGTCATCTTTGATATAACAACTTCCCTAACAGTCAGCACTGACTGGAACAGAATGCCACAGATAAACCTGCAAATTTGAACAATCTTGTTCTCAGTTTTGGAAGCTGAAGGCCTACTCAAGCTTTTGTAGGCTTCTGATTGGAATTCTGCTTTATTTAAAGTATATAAATCGCAGTTTACTCAGAGCATCTTCTCTAAGTTATTTCCAAAAGCCAGTGTTTCTGTCAGTCTTTCCAGTTTAATCCCTTGACTATGACAATAGAAATAACAAAGAATTGGGAATGTATAATCCAGAACTAATTTATTTGAGAGACTTACTCGTCTAAATGTCTACAAGCTAGACTTTTGGGTTATTATTAGCCTGATTCTTAATTAGGCTCTTATTGATATAAAAAGCTAATGTAACTGGTCATGAGAGAGAAAGAATTTATCTTTTTTATGACCAGTTATCTTTCAAGCTATTATTTACTTATTCTATTACTCAAAATTGAATGACAATCACCTTGTTTTTATATCTGCACTGCATATGAACCACAAAGATCAGTTAGCCAGACAATGCCCATTTAGCATGGTCAAAAATGTTTGTTCTTTTGTAAAATATTGCTGAAGATTGGTTTCATGTGCTTTGTTTATTTACCTGTACTTATTATTTATTAGACTTATACAGTATTGTTTAATTAATAAATAATAAGTTGAAAGTTTTAACATAATACATTTTAAAAAAATAAAATAAAATCAAAATTATAAAATAAACTTTACAAATTAAGCTACTAATCCAAATCAAAGTTTCTCACTCTTACCTGTTCTAACATACTTTCTTCGCCTCGACTGAAATTCATCAACTCGTCGGCAGATTTTATCAGAACAGTCCCCTGTAAGAATACTCGTATAAACATATATTTTCTCATTTTAAATAAATTACACACTAATTCCAAAACATACTTTTGTTTCTGTCTGCATTGCGTCGACGGGATAGGTGTACACGGCGACTTTGGCCTCTGCTACTTTTGTGATGTCGCCTTCGACCTGCCTCTTGAAAACCATTCCCTGACACACTTCTGATTTATGGAGGCCGGAACCCTAAGAAATTTTAAACTATAAATTTTTGTTTCTTCTTTTATTAAATACGAGCATAGAGACCAACCTTACCAAAATTTTACAAACACGAACATTGTCTACATTAAAGGTTGTTTTTTCTGGGAGTATGGAGACTAAAAGTTAAAAATATAAACACACATTAATCGAAGCTAGAAGGAAAAATTGGTTTGTTTACACAATAATAAGAATTAATTATAGTAAATCAAACTAATCAGCAAAACAGACTACACTTACTGCAAGCTTGAGAAATGAGCTTTGATAAAAATATTTCGTTTCCATATTGTTTACTCATCACAGAAGTTTTGATGCCTTTAAAAACATCTTTCTCATTACGATAATCTTTTATCTCAAAACATGTTAAACCTGTAAAAGACATTATGATTAGAAAAACAACTAGAGATTAAAACAAATATTAAATAAATTTTTATTCTCTATGTATTTAGGTTGTCCTGTAAGTCTGAAATCATAGATGTTGATCTTTGTTATTTTGCAGCTAAAGAATGGCACTGAGTAAGTAAGAACAAATTTAAGCTATTTTGGCGGCAAAATCTGCAGTCGGTGTGAAATTGCCAACAAGTTTAATAGGCTGCATCTGAACCGCAATGTGCAATTAGCGAGAAATAATGATTGCAGCCCATTAAAAGCTTTGATGACTTTTTGCAAACTGCAAGTCTCCACTATCAAAATAACATAAATTTGTCACTCCTTAATCGGTGCCACACTTTACTGTAATAATAATCAAATAATCACTATACAGCTTTGATATGGTGCAGTATTTCTAGTGTGCGACATACCACTTGATACACTGCTAATATTTTATACATAAATCATACAGAAGTAAGGATTTAACTTTTAAAAAATGTAAAAGCATTTTATAATCAAATGATAAAGCTAGATTAACTGTTCAGCTAGAACTTCATTAATTAATTCTAGACGCATTACATATTGGGTTGTTCGAAAAGAAAGTTTGTTTTTTTTTTTTACCACTAGATGGATTAGTCGTATTTTCCTCGCCATTTTCATTCTAAACTGTATTATCATTATATATTTTGACAGCTAGCATTTTAAGGCTTATTTGTAAAAAATTTTGTTTGATTTTGTGCAATTGTTTATTTTTTGTCCCCCATCAATTATGGAAGATCGAAAGCAGCATTTTCGGCATATTTTGCTCTTTTATTACCAAAAAGGTAAGAATGCTGTTCAAGTGAGAAAAAAATTGTGTGACGTGTATGGAGATGTGTTGAGAGAAAGACAGTACCAAAACTGGTTTACAAAATTTCGTTCTGGCAATTTCAATATTGAAGTTGCACCACGTTCTGGATGGCCAGTTGAAGCCAATGAAAACAAAATAAAGGTACTGATTGAAGCAAACTGCCGAATAACAACACGTGAAATCACTAAGAGATTAAATTTGTCAAATTGAACTGTTTATGATTACTTGAAACAAATTGGTTTCANATATATCATCGTTGATTTATCATCATTTTTCAGAGGCTCAGCAACGACAGAATGATTAAAACTCGAGTTATTCTTCGTCAGTTGTTCGCCATCGACTGCTTTACTGCAACAAATCACGTAAAAGACGGACAAAATAAAAATAATGCAACTAGCGATTATTTTACAATAGCCAGATCTTTTTTCTATGTTTTCCATCTCATCAGTCGGACACTGCTGATAAGCATAATCTGTAAATAAACGATAAAAAACCGAATTAAAATACACTAAAACATCTGTAAAAGTTTAATAAATCTAAATTCGACCCTACACAACACGTTTCACCTTACACGAGACTTACTTTTAAAATCTGAACCGCTCATGATTCGATTTTTCGTTACCACGCCTTGTTTCAGTTTCGATTTCGTTTTCGCGTGACTTCTCTACTCTCTAATGGAGGCCGCCATATTGATTTTACGTCATTCGGCGCCATTGGTCCGTTTCTTTATGATGTAATTCGAAAGAGGGTCGCCATCTGTGTGGATTGACACTAAAAGTAAACTATTATCAAGGACAATGCTCAAAGTAAATTAAAAAATATTTAAAATTTAATTATTTAACAATATTTTTCATTTTCTGTGCTGTTTCACGTATATATTCACGCATAAAAACCATCAATGGCCGCCATATTTATTTTACGTCTTTCGGCTCCATTGGTCGTTTCTCTCTGACATATCAGTTGCAAACCAATGATGTAGTCCATTGCATACGAAACAGCTAATACAACTAGCTTTAACTGATTTTCACTTATTCACTCTTTATATATTTTAGAAAAATAAAATATAAAATGAAATATTTAATAAGTCATTAAAAATCGAATATAAAATGCCATCTATACTGTACAAATAATTTCGAGGAAACTAATCTCAATTCATGTTTAATGGTAATATAAAGGTTCGCTTTACGACCGATCAGATCGTAAAGCGAAACCAACGTTTAGGCTGTAAAATCGAAGTATTTGTTGTGTATATTTTAAACTGGCACCATATTTTACTATTTATTTTTAAAATTCTACTTTCCTGTTCCATTATAAAAAGGTTGTACCCCACATCACTAGAAAACTTAAATTCTACTGATGATATTGAAGCATCATCACAAATAATGATCGTATCAGAAAGATTTTTGACTGATTAGGTTAATTAATGGCAAACTATATAAAATTAATCTACTAACTGAAACAGAAGGCGGGCCAGTATGATAAAGGCACTGGCTTGCAACTACGAAAACTTGAATTTTTGTAAAAGGATCAAACAAATCTATAATGGACACGGATGATCATCTTAGTGCTTTGGGAAGGATTTAAATATATATATAAATGCATAAACAGATTAATTTATTAATTTCACACTTGAAATATCCAACTTCATGTTGAGTATACATTATAATATGTACAAGTATGGGGTCTTCTAAAAAGAATGCTATAATTTTATTGTAATAAAGTTAATTATTATCTAAGAACATTGTAATGTACATTAAAACATTGGAAAACTGTCCAACTCTGCAACCGCCCATTACAGTTTCTCAAAACATGCACCTTGCATCACATGGCACACATCCGACCAATACTGAAATTCCTCCTATGCTCACTGCTTATGTAAATTTAATGATTTATATATAACTAGCAGATAAGCCCAGCGTTACTCAAGAAAAAAAGTAACGATAGCGAAGATTAAAATCATTACATTACAGCCAATCTTAATACAAATTTGATGTAGTTCGGAAATAAGTAAAAGCAATTACTAAACAAACAACTGTTACTTACACATGATTGAACTAAAACTGAAAAAATTCGATTTATAATATTTTTTTAATTTAATTCGTTTTAGTATTATTTTAATTAAACTAAAATTCAGTTTTCTAATATTTTCACTTATAATACAAGCTTTAATCTTAATTAGATTGCTGCTTTAGTCCAGTAATTCAACAAGAAAATATTAGAAACATCTGGGAGNTTGTTTAGAAGAGTAGCTTATGAGTAATTAAACATTATTTTAGGAGATTTTTGAGGCTGCAAAGGCACTCCAATAATCACAGACGTGACATTATTACAAAAGTACAAAAACAAATTATACATATTCCAAAAGTTTTTCAATTTTAAAAATTTATTCATTCTATTTTATTTGAACCATCTTTAAGAACTTTTGGTCTCGGAACAGGAACTTTGTGTCAAAGGGCCGTTACCGAAATGATATATTTATAATAAGACAATCTGTATAAATGTACACACATATTTAAGATGAAATTCAACAAAGATATAAGCAAATTTAAGATTTTAATTTGTAAAAAAGTTAATTATCTCAACACCATACAACCGCAATACAAAACAACAAAGGCGAAACATTTTACATTCTTTTTCTTTTTTGCTTTCTTGGCTGCTACGCAACATTTCATTGGTGGAACGAAGCATATTTCCGAGGCAGCCTTCCGCAGCGGGAGCAACCGTGTGTGGAAAAGAAACAGAAGAAACGACTGGTCTTAAAATTGATTAATGATGAATGCAATTAATGAATTAAATAAAACAATTATGTTCCTTCTGGATTTTGCAAAGTAATTAAATTGGTAACAGTTGTTGCGACACTTCTCTAGTGTTAGAAACGCTTAATCTTGATCCCAGTCGCCTCCGTCAGATTTGGGTTTTGGTCCTCCGGCCGGCTTGGCCATGATTATCTAAAAATTAAATAGACATGTTTTAACGGTAACTAAAGAACAGTCAAGTCTGACGACGAACAGATCCACTTACTTGATCAACTTTGAGAATGGTGCATGCCGCATTTGTTGCATACTTAATGGCCCAATATTTTGTAAGATAGAGATCTAATATGTTCTCGCTGACATCTTTCACTGATGTTCCTTCCACCTAAAACACATTTAATAGGTTATGAAAAAATAAAACATAAATTAATACAAAATGTAAAAATTATTTCTAACCTCTGCGTCAAATCCCACGTTTACTTTCCCTTCTTGATGATCGGCGTATAAGTTAGAAATTACTTCTGTAGGCTGTTGTGATATATATGATAAAGACTTTTGCCATAAAGAAATATCATAGAGCGTTTAAATAAATACTTACCTTAACACCGGAATTTTCGGCTAATGCACGGGGTAATGATTCTAAGGCTTCGGCAAATTTCTTTACTGCATATTGTTCAAGGCCAGGTAATTGCTAAAAAAATAAATAAATAATTTCATTATTTATCAATAAAGTGTACCCCCTGCTTTACTACTGCAAGTGAAATCAAACTGCTTTTGATTTCATCTGTTTGATTACAACTCCATGAGATTCCACAAATCCAACTTGCAGCATTGCAAACTCTACTCATCACCCTGTATGTATATTATTTTCTTACCTCTCCATAAGAAGTAATCTGCTTTGCAAGTTCAATCTCACTTGCTCCTCCGCCAGGAATTAATCTACCATCCTTTGAAAGGAAAATAAAAGATGTTACGCTTAACAATTGATAACATTAAGTGATTAAATAAAGTAAGTAGTAAGCAAAATGTTTTCATTTTATTTTTGTTTTAAATGACAAAAATATACTCAAAACTTCTACAAAAAAAAATAAGGAAACGTACTTTTGTGATTGCTTTGAAAGTATTTACTCCATCGTCGATTGCCCTTTCGATATCGTCCATTAAATTGTCTGTAGATCCTCTTATCACAATCGTAGATATTCGAGATTCTTTACTTTCTACAAAATGATGAAAAAAGTCAACTCTTTTTTACCTTTTGTCCTTACTTTTATCAATTTCTATTTGAATCCTTGTCTACTTTGGACTTTTAATAAACAAAGTCCAAAGTAGAAAAGGATATAAAAAAAAAGTCGTTTTAACAGTCATTTTTTGTTTATTAAATCAAATTAAAATAGCTTTTAAAATTTAATTTTTACCTTGTTTAAAAATTACAACAGGAGTTTCTCCGATTTCGTCTAAGTAAACTTTATCACAATAACCTAGTTCTTCTGGTGTGGGTGCAATCTGAAAGAAGTAATGAATTGTTTTTCAAAACAACTGTAAATTAACACGTACAAAGAAGCACTTTACAATGATAAAGTTCAACAATGAGAAGTTTTAAATAACAACAATGGTGAAAAAAATTTATCTATGGTACTAAATTTGTATGCAAGACCTGCTTCATTATAGTAGCTTTGCTGATTTAGAATCACAAATCAGTGATTCTTGTCACTGATTTAGATCAGAGGTTCTTAACCTGGAGTGAAAGATACGTTTTCTCCGAGAAAAATTTTTTATTTGAACTTTTTCAAAAAAAGGGTTTTTGTTGAGAACTAAATTTTAAGATAAAGCCATAATAAAGGTGTACTAATATCAAATTTAAATGTATAATTACATATTTCTTCTGCATAATTCCTAACCCAGACATAAATATTTTTATATTGATAAATGAACACAGGTGAATCTTCTTGCTTAAATTGTATCTAAAGTTAGACTAAAATGTGTGAAAATGAGACAACTCTACCCATCCACATAAGAAAACTTAAATGAATTTTTCATGGAGATATGAGCACCAAATCATTTGTTATGCTTTTGAACAATGTTAAACTCAGTGAGATAATGTTTTGTTTAAAATTTATGGAGTCAACGACATTGAAGCATGAAAAATCTGACAAAAATTATAATAAGGAAAAAAATTTATAGTAAATATTATACATTAACTGAATAGATATTTTTTTTCAAAACTCGTGTGTCAAAATACATCCTTACAGTGTGAAATTATAAAAACAACTGATTATTATATATTTAATTATGCAATTCAGTAAAATAGTAACATATTATAAGAATTACTACCAATAAAATAGCAAAACCCATTACTAAAAACAAAATATAGTAAAACATGCATTAATCCCTAAAGAAAGAGTTAAGGCAACATTGAATGCCAGTCACTGGCATCACCAGTTGTTTCCATTGTAATTATCAAGGTCAAAACCTCAATAATTAAAACATGGATTATTGGCCACACCTGATGTCGACATTCCACACTACTTTAATTTTGCTGTGCGTCTGCCTTAAGACTCACTGAATATCAAGCACTCAAGTCTTATTTCTCTCTCTTTTTTTTATCTCAAATTTGTTTATTGCTTTGTTCGTTTTCATTTAAAAATAATAATATGATTTAAATGTGTGTGGTTTTAAAACAGATACTACTCATTTAATACTTACTAATCGTGGCAAAGCAGTTGCTCCAACAGTTTTACACAGCCTTCTGACATCAAACTTGGAAGGCAAGCGCACACCCATCATACCATATTTATTCAAAAAGTGTAGTGCCATGTCTCCTATTTTTCCTCCAGAAACGACAACATTTGCTCCGGAATCGGCAATGGATTTGATTTGCTGAAAATAAATAAATTAAAAGACATCAATCCCTGAAAAAGATCTCATCGAAGTTTATTTATTCCAATAATAACAATGATTGTCGAAGACACCAAGGTCAACATGTTGCAATGTCACAAAAACCTTGCAGTTATGTGGTGGTAATTTTCATGCAAAAATAACTCAAAATATAATAAGACATGTAAAAGATATTAATCATCATTTTAAAAAAATAAAATAAAATCAAAATTATAAAATAAACTTTACAAATTAAGCTACTAATCCAAATCAAAGTTTCTCACTCTTACCTGTTCTAACATACTTTCTTCGCCTCGACTGAAATTCATCAACTCGTCGGCAGATTTTATCAGAACAGTCCCCTGTAAGAATACTCGTATAAACATATATTTTCTCATTTTAAATAAATTACACACTAATTCCAAAACATACTTTTGTTTCTGTCTGCATTGCGTCGACGGGATAGGTGTACACGGCGACTTTGGCCTCTGCTACTTTTGTGATGTCGCCTTCGACCTGCCTCTTGAAAACCATTCCCTGACACACTTCTGATTTATGGAGGCCGGAACCCTAAGAAATTTTAAACTATAAATTTTTGTTTCTTCTTTTATTAAATACGAGCATAGAGACCAACCTTACCAAAATTTTACAAACACGAACATTGTCTACATTAAAGGTTGTTTTTTCTGGGAGTATGGAGACTAAAAGTTAAAAATATAAACACACATTAATCGAAGCTAGAAGGAAAAATTGGTTTGTTTACACAATAATAAGAATTAATTATAGTAAATCAAACTAATCAGCAAAACAGACTACACTTACTGCAAGCTTGAGAAATGAGCTTTGATAAAAATATTTCGTTTCCATATTGTTTACTCATCACAGAAGTTTTGATGCCTTTAAAAACATCTTTCTCATTACGATAATCTTTTATCTCAAAACATGTTAAACCTGTAAAAGACATTATGATTAGAAAAACAACTAGAGATTAAAACAAATATTAAATAAATTTTTATTCTCTATGTATTTAGGTTGTCCTGTAAGTCTGAAATCATAGATGTTGATCTTTGTTATTTTGCAGCTAAAGAATGGCACTGAGTAAGTAAGAACAAATTTAAGCTATTTTGGCGGCAAAATCTGCAGTCGGTGTGAAATTGCCAACAAGTTTAATAGGCTGCATCTGAACCGCAATGTGCAATTAGCGAGAAATAATGATTGCAGCCCATTAAAAGCTTTGATGACTTTTTGCAAACTGCAAGTCTCCACTATCAAAATAACATAAATTTGTCACTCCTTAATCGGTGCCACACTTTACTGTAATAATAATCAAATAATCACTATACAGCTTTGATATGGTGCAGTATTTCTAGTGTGCGACATACCACTTGATACACTGCTAATATTTTATACATAAATCATACAGAAGTAAGGATTTAACTTTTAAAAAATGTAAAAGCATTTTATAATCAAATGATAAAGCTAGATTAACTGTTCAGCTAGAACTTCATTAATTAATTCTAGACGCATTACATATTGGGTTGTTCGAAAAGAAAGTTTGTTTTTTTTTTTTACCACTAGATGGATTAGTCGTATTTTCCTCGCCATTTTCATTCTAAACTGTATTATCATTATATATTTTGACAGCTAGCATTTTAAGGCTTATTTGTAAA